CTCCTTCTTCTTCTTCTTCTTCTTCTTCTTCTTCTTCTTCTTCTTCTTCTTCTTCTTCTTCTTCTTCTTCTTCACAAACAAATAACTGACTTTTCCCTGTTCTGAAATGCTGCTAGTGTGTTATTGTACTTCTTTAACTCGATACATATTCATTGTGGTTGGTTGACGGTTACTCTGGTGTTGTTTGTTCATTCTTTCCTATCAGATATCTGTCGTCCTTTTCACTCCTCTTCCTGTTTGTATGTTACACTCTATATGTGGGTGGTTGATGGGTGCTCTGGTGGGGTTTGCTTCTTCTTTTCTATCAAACATCTATCGTCTCTATCTCCCCTCCCTCTTTTTTGAGTTTCTTACTCTCATGTAACACCTCTAATCTTCGGCACTTATTGACCCTATTGTATTGCTAGTACCGTTAAACTCTTACTAAAACTAAAAAACACTATATATGTCGAATCGTCGGCACTTCCCTGACCCGATTGCGTTGCTACCAGAGAAGAAAAAGAAATCGTCAGACACACCCTTACACCTTCTTTGCTTCCAAACGTACTGACGATGTTTTCCTTTGGAGCATAGCAAGGAAGCAAAAGATAAGAAGGGAGGGAAGCAGTACTTTGACGTGGGTGGCTGGCGGGCGCTCTGGTGTGGTTTGCTCCTTCTTTCCTATCAAACATCTATTGTCCTTATCTCTCCTCCTTTTTTGTTTATGTTACTCTCTTGTAACACACAATCTATTCCTCGGCACTTATATGACCTTTTTGTGTTGCAAGTGCCGCAAAACTCTTACTAAATCTAAACTTTGACTATCTACTTTCTCTATATCTGACACCCAGGCAAAGCTGCATACTTCTTTAAGATCGTCTGTCAGACGCAAAAGGCCATCCTATTGCTATTTGTAAGAATTTATTATGGGCCTCTGTAAATATTATGTCAATGTAAGTGACATTTCCTCCAAAAGATAAGTAAAGTAGTCCTATAGTTTGAATCGTTGATATCTTTTTTAACATAGGATGTGGGCGGTTGGCGGGTGCTCTGGTGTGGTTTGCTTCTTCTTTCCTATCAAACGTCTATAGTCCTCATCTCCCCTCCTTCTTTTTTATGTTTGTTACTCTTTTGTAACACCTCTTATCTTCTGGCGCTCATATGACCTTATGCAGTTGCGAGCGCCGTAAAACCTCTACTAAAACTAAATAGCATCGGATGTCAATGTCTCTTAATGTTGTGGTTTGTTTTCTCTTTTTCTTCTGTACAGGAAGTCAACGCAAAGAGAAAAGAAATAGTGGGAACACAAGCAGTTTGAAAGGCAAGAGATGCAGAGCGGATTCCTCGGATTCTGCCGTCAACTCCACAAACAATGGTGCATCCTCCTCTAAGGTAGGATTGCTTTCAGAAACTTTTTTTTTCTTAAAGTAACAGAAGATTATTATTTTCTGGTGTTTGGTGGACTCTACTTATGATCCGAATTTTTTTCCCCTAGCCCTCAGTGGTGGTCATTGTGTTGGTATATAGCTCTTAATCATAATATGTAACTGTATTTGATACTCTGAAAGGTGTTATGTATGGGTTGTCTTTGGATGCTGTGGTTTGGTTTGCTTCTTCTTCACTATCAGACATCCATGGTCCTTATCTCCCCTTTTTTTTTGTGTGTGTGTCAGTTTCTCTCTTGCAACACCTCTAATTTCCAGCTCCTATATGACCTAATTGTGTTGTAAGTGCCATAAGTCTTTGACTAAAACAATAGAAACATTTTTTGGAAAGAAATTTGCCAGTGGATTTATACTTAAAGTAACGTTATATTGATGGTCTTTGCCATTTTGGCCATATATTTTTATTTCGAGACAGTTTCAAATTCTAGTGAAATTTCTGTTTGTCATATTATGGTCAAACTTTAAACTCATCAATTGGTAGGGTTGTTGGTTCCCATATTGCCTCCAACTCAGAAAGACTGATACATAGATTCTTTGAAGACCAGTCTAGATAGTGCACTGCACTGATGGTGACAGTCCTTTCGGAGACAAGTTAAATTCAGAGGTCCGGCCTCTTAAATAACCTATTTGTGTTGATAAGGGTGTTAAACTCATACTTAAGTACGGATGGTGCTCGTTTCAACATTAGTTGATACGTTTGTTTTTGGAAATTTAAGGAAACGGCACTGGAACAACCTTTAACCAGTTTTATGCTGTGCAGTAAAACAAGGGAAAGATTTGTTTTAGACTGAACTCAGTTTCAGAGCCTTATTGTGATGAGCTAGAAGGGTGGATGGGGTAAAACGTTTTTTTTCCTTTGTTCTTTGAAAGTACATGTACAGTTGAAACTGTCCAAATGGCCACCCATTGTCGAGGAGAAAGAAAAGGTTGCCCTTGACAGATGAATGTCTTGGACAGTCTCATAACATTTTTTAAGACGCAAGGTGGGAATTGGTCTTTTTTAATTGTCGTGGACAGATGGCCGTTAAAGCAAGTTTGACTGTGATTAACACTTTTGAGTCACACAGTCAGCGGTACAAAATACCCTTTCTGGTCTGGATGACCGGAACGGATAATTTTAACCTGCGCATTATTGCACCAAGTGACTGAAAAGTTTTTGTTAAGAAATTTGATATTAAAGCAATTCTTGTTTTGTCTACTCCCACAAACAAACACCCTACCC